CTCGATCCCCTCATGCAGATCATTGATAATTTACATGGGGTCATGTTATTTTTTGCACTCTACAAAGTTGTATGCATATCCTCGCCACTGGGACAATCTATGGCAAACTGATTGGCCGTTACTGCCATTTACAACCTTCAGATCTGCTTCAGGGGCAGAAGAGGTCAGTAAAACTGTATTTGGTTTTTTGTCCCTGTAAATACGATTGTGTTCAGCTGTGGGTCCAGTCTGGTTTCTGTTAGCACCCATCAAGAAATAACTGATTCACATCACTTTAATTCAAGCAAAGGCTGTGTCGCCATTATTCCTTATTTCACCAGTGGAAAAATACAGAATTGTTTCATTTACTTAGGTTTCGCCCAGTTGCTGCTGCTTGACAAATGACTCAGAGGAACATTAAAAAAAGCAGATGGATATGGAAAAACGGGTTTAAAAGAAAGTGAAGGATGCAGATTTCTGGAATATGATGAATGAATAGAGGGATCCAGAGGACATTGCTCTCCACTGCACTCTCAAGAGGAGGTGAAAGCAAGAGTGTGAAAAGGAGGAGACAACCTAAGTAAAAAGCAGCAAATTTTAAAGGCTGATTTAACTTTTTCTTTAGGACTGTAGATGTTGCAATACACTACTGAAAAAGATAAAATAGATGTTTCAAGAAAACCTACTAAAGATAGAGACAGAGAAAAAAAATAGACTGTGCTTCAGTGTGGAAATGTATTATTCTCTTACCTTGTCTGCTAGGATGGCAAGTGTTCTTTCAAGGCCATTAGCTGATCTATCCTTGGCAGCTCTCGAGAGCCTTTCTGCATAGTAACTGACTTGTGTTTTCAGGGTGTTGATTTGTGCAATAATTTCCTTTGCTCTAACAATGTCCTGTGGGATGTATATTATAGACTGGGAACTTGTTGAAGTGCTGAAAAAGAAAGACTGATTTTAGGGGAAAAATTGATCTAGAGGTACACACATTACAGTGGCATGCTAGGAATTAACGGCAGACAACAAAAATTTACCTAAGCTAGCAATCAACAGTGAAAGGCCAGTGGGCAATTGCACAGCAGGAACATGATCCTAGAGCCTTCTCTGCCTTTACTGAAAGCATTCAGATGCAGATTTACTAATCCCTTATGCCAGGGGACTGTGGGCAGAGCTTGTACACCAGAGGGACAGTTTTGCTGAGGAGAATGTGGATGATAGATTTTGCCATCAGAGACAGAACCACTGTTTGCAGAGACAGCTTGCCCCATTCTCCCTCTCCCTACCACACAGACACTTCCCTGAGGCCTGGTTTACAAACCTGTATTATCACATAGCTATCAGCATAATGAAAAGAAAATCTGCACTCCTTCCAACACAGAAATGCCACACAGATCCGTAATGCAAGCACTGTGGTATTAACAAAAATTCCCTCTGCTAGTATATCCTTTCCTCTATTGCAGGTCTGATTCAAATTACACCAGCAAAAGCAATCTTATGCTATATAAAAACCAAAGTATATCTCCAGGCTAATCCAAGGACTCTGTCCTTGGTGTAGCTTCTGTTAACACACACTTGCTATACTAAACTAGGAACATGGTACAGCTCTCCCTTTTATAAACTCAGCTGTAACAATAGAAGGCAATACTAAATTTTGGCCTTTTCCAAATAGTAAGGGAAATAAACTATACCAGTAAAACATATCTTTATATTGGGATACTGCAGCTCCACTAAGACCGCTTACTTGGCGGTAGAGGAGAATAGTTCATGTCCTCTAAAGTTTAGATGTCTACAGAAGTTGCTTATCCAGTCCAAGACTCCCTCTGTAACTGCTGGAGAGAGAGAGCACTTCTAAAGGGTTATTTAATCCTACCTGAGAAGAGCCATTCACAAAAGCTGCCTTTTAGCTTAGAAAAATTACTTTAAGGTGAAGTTGTGCTCTTAGTTAACTAATCGGAACCAACCCACCGCTACTCCCTTTGCCAGGCAATATGCTGGTTTTTTCCTCCCAGTAAGAAAGCTATACAAAGATCAGGCCTCTACATCAGCTCCAACCGTGACAAGTGTGATGCCCGTTCACGACATGGCATCAAGCATGAGGTGACACCAACTGTATATTGTTTTAATTTTATTCATTTTTTCCAGTCATGATAGGCTTCAGTGTAATAACAGCACAGAAGAACCTACTGTTCACACCAATCTCAGCACTGTTCAATGGACACAGCTACACTGAGAGACTACACAGAGAGGAGTTTCTTTTCCAGGCACAGTTACCTCAGATCACGACCTCCGAGGAGTGCGAATTCCTCTGCCACCCCTAGAGCAATGCTGTTAATTCCTGCAGTGTGTCTGTGAGGTAAGACAGGAGGGTTGCGTGGGGCACACTTTAAAATCATTGCCACAAATACCAGTTCTTGTCCCTTAACTGATTAAGGCAAGGGGGGAGCTTAATCCCAGTATCTGTCTGAGCTCCACAAGAAAAGATGGGGGATTTGTTTTCAAAGGATATAATGCAGAAGTGATTCTTGAAAGAGTTTCCTTATTTGTGTCCCTCTCATCACCCACCTGAGTGGAGCAGAGAACAACCACTCCCCAGTACTGCTACACCATACAGCAAATTAATCTCAGCTTTTAGGACTTTCCCTGTACATGATTTGTGCTCTCTATTGACCGGTGATCTTAGTGACAATTCCTCTGAGCAATTTCTTTCCACGACAGTGTGGTTAACATGCATAAAGACGTATTTGGCAGGAAAGGCCATGCAGCATATTGAGATCTGATTTAGAATTATTACATTTTTAATCACAAACATTTGCTGGGATGATCAGGGGGAAAAATTTATGGTGTAAAGTTCACATATATTTACTTTCCAACCTGCAATTGCTTTTTCAAATGAACAGCTCTCCTTGTACTATATTAGGAAAATGTAACATAGCCTTAACCTCTCAGTGAATTAGGGGTTCAACCTTTAATATGAGCAATTTAGAGCAGAACTTCTGCGCTGTTGAACCATCAAGTAATGTTTCCTTTTCATAGCACTGAACACCATGACATGAAGAAAAATAAACAAAAGTTAATGAAAATGTTTAAATGAAGACATGGGTTACAAAAATATAAACCATGCCCAATCTATCACCATAAAGATTTAAAAATATGTAGAGTTATCTTAATTATCTTCCACCTCTGGCAGAACGTTTCTCTCTCCAGGCAGTTTTCACTGGAAATAACAGAAGAAAAGATATAAAATTCTTGTGTTCTGATATTCAGCTTTAACTTTTTATGATCAGAGAGAGCCAGGAAGCGAGCTGTTCATTACAAACAAGCATTGCAGATGAAATGAAATTCATTCACACATCATGTTCTACAAAGCAGCTACAATTACTTAGAGCACAATTAGGGATGCCATGATGCATGACACTAAAAAGCCCTGCACACTTTAAAACACACCAGATCTTTACCAAAGAAAAGAAAGAAAAGAAAAATAAACCCCAAAGAACAGAAACCCTCTCTACAGGACTCTCAGAAACAGAAAACTCACCAACACTCCTCATAACTGCTAAAAAAACCAAAAAACCAAAATAAAATTAGCAGATTGTTAGCAAATACCAAAAGCAGAAAAACAAAACAAAGGATGTTTGCGGAAATAACTTATTCGAGTCATCTTTTCAACAAGGCGGGTACATAATGATTAAACTTGTAAGCAAAAAACACACAGATTGCCAGATGCCCATGTGTTGTTCTGGGGAAATATTGTGGATGCACCAAGCACAGTTTTGCCAATGAAAGGAGAAAGAACTGAACAATATCTATGTAACAGTGAAACTGAGGAGATGGATCTCAGTTCTACTATACTGGCTTTTATGATAACATAGAAGTACTTGAAAGGAAAGTTATTCTTCAAATGTTGAACCTGCAGTTTTCATGGACCCAGAAAGAACAGTTCTGCAAAGCTCAGAGGAAAAGTACTGCATAGAAATAAAGCTCTCTGATCAGCTTAATTATTGGGTGAGGGTAAAAAAAAAAAACCAAACCCAAACCAAAACCAAAAGAGACATGGGAACTTAGACATTGCAGGAGTGAGGCCCACTTCAGTAGCTAAGCTGACAGAAGGACGTTATTTAGAAAGCAATAGTGGTATCAAAAGAACAGGAAGGGTGAGCCTAGCATACCAGTGTTTCCAGGTCTACTGTTTCCTCTAGTCCCATCCTAGCGCACTCTCTAAGTCAGCAATAATTACACCAAGCGTATTTTTGCACCAATCTTTTTATCAGTACATATCTGACTGATGTTCACAGGATGCTGCTATTCACTTCTCCACTGCCAAAACTAATTCTGCAGTTGGCAGAGACTGGTTCCCACGTCACTCTCTCCTCCCATCAGCTCCAAATCCTACAAATCCTTGCTTTGGAAGGGCATTACCAAGGTCTCCTTTTCCCTGGCTACAATGACTCCTTGTCCCGCTGCTCTCGTTGTTCCTTAAATTCTCCATACTGCAGCAAAAGTAATGCAGACCCAGACAGCATTCTCTCTTCCTTGGGAGCTGGAGCGGGTGCCATGCAGTTCTCTCCCTTTAGCATATGTGACCTTCCCAATTTCTGCCCCTTCCTCTGCACTTCCCAGAGAGGTCACTAGACAGTCCCTGAAGACAGGACTGTGGAGGTCAAGTATCCTGCCTGTAGAGCGGAGTGAGGCCAGATTCTGAAGCCTAATCTGTGCATAAACCTTGAGGCAGTACAGAAGAGCCTCCAGCAATAGTTCCAGAACGAAACCCAAGTTGTCAACAAGGAATTTGCCTATCAGTCACAGCTGTTCTGTACTAAAGAGAGTTCAGCAACAGGACCTTTAAGCTATGAGAGGGGTGAAAGTCTCCTGAAAACAATGGGTTGAAAGCATGATGTAGTGCAGCTGAGGAGGTTCTACAGACAAATTTTCTAATCCACAATTAGGCAGAACCCAAACCCAACACCTAAAATAGCTAAACTAAACAAACCAACAAGTATTCAGGAAAATTAAAGATTTCATTAAAAGACTATTAGAAAGGGCCCATCAGTAAACAAACAAATATGGTAATATAAAGGGGAAACTGTTTTCCCTTGCCTTCTTTGGAGAAAGACATGGAATAATCATCACATTGTATAGTAGAACTACTGAATGAAGTGCAACAAAAACAGAGAATGAAATCATTTTCCAAATCGCTGAGCATGGACCAGGAGGAAAAGGCACAATAACATCTGACAACATTTCTACTTACTGTTTCTTTGCCTCTTCAAATTTATGCAGCTTTTTCCGCAAGCCACCTGATTTAAAGCCTTGGCAATGAGCTGCTGGTGCTCCTATGGTGACTATGTCGTAGTTCTGATCTGGGATGGACAAAAAGGACTTACAAATGAAAGCTTGTCATTCTTTACTTTAGACAAACACTTGTGGAAATTCAAAAACTACTCTGAAAGTAATTTTTGTAAAGCTTTGCCAGTGTTTTGAAGGACATGGAAAACTGAATAGCTTTAGAGGCCCTGGAAATCCATCACGCACTTTTGAGGTAAAAGAACCATACTTGAGTGCAGGTCCTCTGTTTTTTAATCTAGAAGACTGATGGTGAAAAAGAAGCCTTGAACATTGGTCTTTACACAAAACCTGCCATTACATGGATACATGGGACAAGTGTGTGTCCATGGCTAGTGGGAATTACTGTTAAAAGAAGGGAAAACCTAGGTTATTTATGAAGAAACAAGCTTGATGTGAACAAACTGGTGTGATTTTGCATAACCGTACATGATGGTTCCAGAGAAAAAGCACACAAGCTTAGCAACAAACAACAGTCAGAACCTTTGCTATTCTGCTACAATTCAAAATGACTGGAAGGAACATAGCAGCTTAATCCAATACATTCCCTAGTACAAAGGCTGACTTGTGTCACCTAGGGTACAGTTAACTCCAGAACCTAGTTTTGCCACCTGTAGAATAGCAATAATTATACTTACAGCTCTTCTTTTGCTAAGAGATTTGGAATCTGAGGATAAAAGGTGCTACAGAAATGCTAAGTAGCACTAGTACTACAGAGCAGTAGTTTGTAGAAACTTGGGTGTATGGTTGAGGATGGAAATAAAAAAATGGAGAGAAAAGTAACAGAATAAGGTGAAGAAAAAGAGAGAAAGAAACAAATACCTGATCCTCCATCATCCTGGACTCTCATTCTCTGTATATGTAAATTCGTAGGAACAAATTCCAATTTTTTATCAGCTTTCAAGCTACTGGCTTTAAATGAAGGACCTGAGAAATGCAGGAGAAAAGTAAGCATAAAAACCCTTTGCTTCTGCTTATGCTAAAACATTCAAGGAGCTTCATTCATCATTTGCTACGTGCTGAAAGTAAAGCAGAGAAAAGAAAAAAAAAGATATATCTTTCTGTTACTGTTCATAATTGTTCTCTACTTTCAGGGTAAAATAAGAGAATGAATAAAGCAGACAAATATTCCCAGATCATTAGCAAACTCACAATAAATGTTAATAAAGAAAATAAATCTAATAATAGTACTTTTTACTCATCACACTAAAACATTTGGGGTTCCCCATTTCAGAGAAGCACTAACAATCACGGTTGAGAAGTATCATGTTACTATGAAAAAGAAATCACCTTTGTACTGGTGCAGGTCAGTTAGATTTTCCTGATAAGTTAAAATAATTGTTTGGTACTGAGTAACTATTTGTCGACGAAGGCTTTCCCAACAAGGAGACAGTTCTCCCAATTCTTCTAGTTCACAAACCCTGGAGGGGGAGGGGGGGGAAGGAAGGAAGGAAAAAAAGAGAGGTGTTTAGCTCCATTGTACACTTGACCAAGAACGAGTTTCCCATTGTATCAATGTAGCACCATCCTCAGCTGACACATTCTCAATTCACTCTGGTCTAACCTACTCACCAGGCTGGGAATGCTTCCAAACATACGTCCCAAAGCACAGCTGTTGAGCTCTACTCCAAGGCACATAAGTTCCTCACAGGCAGAATACACCGTGTTCCCCCCAGGAGCCTCAGGTGTTGGTTAAAACCAAGGCCTCCCACCTTTCCGACTCTCAAGGAGCTCTCAAACTATATGATGATTTGCCAATGATGGGCACTGTCATCATGTCAGGTGACTTGGGACAATGAGGACCTTTTTAGGCCACTCCACTGAACTTTGGTGGTTCTCAAATCAGAACTGTGACAGAGGTTAGGTGGGAGATGAGCACCTATATGACATAAGCTACAAGGAGTATCTACGCTGGCCAGGTACCTACACAACGATTTTCAAGGCCAGGCAGAGAAGGCCTAAGAAGCATAAGCATTAATAAGGCTTTGAAGAGACAAAAGATGAGCCAACAAAACCTTCATCTGAGATTCAGGATTTTAGGCACTCAGGTTTCACAGTAGGTGGAATAAAGGACGACTAAATACCCCTAGATATGAACAGAAAAACCCCTGGCTTCCCATTGCACCCTGACTGCTAGGTTTTCAGTCACACATGGCAATCCTGTGTTACATACTGTTTCCCAACAGTGCTGCTGAAAAACTATTTAGTGTATTTCATGTCATGCTTGTATTACTGTCTTCTTGGATTAAGATATTATTTGGAATAAAGGAAGAAGGGGAAAAGTAAACAAGTCAACACCAGACACGATTCAACAGCACATTACCCCACAAAAGGTAGAACAATCTGTCAAAAGGATCCAGCAGTTCTCTTTGCAGTTCTCTCAATATCCCTAATCCATAGTTTTAATCAATTGTCTGTATTTAATCTAAGACAGCATTTCACAGAACAATTCCCACTCCACAGTATTTAGGATATTATCAAAAGGAAGCAAATTTCCAAGAAAAACATTAGATTGATTTGCCAATAAACAGCAGTGTAAACTATCTTCATTGGTGACTTGGAAAAAGACACTTCCAGTTTCATCTTGTAAACCGCTTCTGCTTAAGATGCTATTATGATAACCTTGTCAAACTCCCTGCTCAAAACTAGCCATGCATCTGAGCCCAGGTCTTCCTGAAGTAAATTCACAGCTTAACGCTTCAAGTTTACTTGTTTGTCCCATAGGGCTAAGACAGCAGGGGATGTGCATGCCATAAACAATTAGGTAGTCAAAATATCCCTCCGGTTGGTTTCCTTTCAAAGAGCTCTGGCCCAGAGCTGCTTTACGTACGAGACACTGATTATCCAAGGACATTTTAAAAGTCACCAGGATGTTAAGACAGAAGCAGCTGTGCTTGTGTAGCTGTCCAGCATTCCTCTGGGCTGCAGCACAGAGAATGGAGAAAAGAGCCCTTGGCCAAATCTGAGAGATCCTACGAGTACAAAGTGTGATTGTGCATGTCATTGAGAGTCACCTCAATTGAAGAGCGAGAACGGAGTCTTTCTCGCTAATTACGCAAAAGTTGTATTTACCTTTGAGCCACGCAATTCAGAGTATACAAAGTCATATTAGCAATCACCTGGGCTGTTATTAACACGCAACTGCATACAATATGTATCCATTGATCTCTATATTTTAGCAACAGCCTCTGAACAGTCACATTTCATGGCTAACGCCTTAAGAAACTTTTCTGTCCACAGTCTTACAGAAAGCCACATCTTCTTCCCCATTCAGTCTAAATTCTCATCTTACTATCTTCAAGTCCTTAAACCACATCCACCACAGATGGCACCTTATGGGTAAGCTTGCCAACTCTTTACAACATTGTGGCTGTACCTCATAATGAATAGGTGCTTTTAAACGTACTGTGAGGAAAGCTGTAGAGAAACAAAGATATAAAATAAACAATGAATAACCCATGTCTAAATGGTTAATGGTGTAATGGTATATCCCAAGTCCCCTCCACCAAGGTTGTAGCAAGACAGCTAGGCAAGATACAGCATTCACTCTCTAGAATCTAAGATCTGACTACTCTTACTAAGTGCATGTCAGTAAAAACCAAAACTCAACAGCAGCAAAAAAAAAAAATTTCTGTGTGAAATTCAGAAACTCAAACAGCCATGTCATGCATTCGTTTTTCCATACATTAAAAAAAGTCACTGCCATCTTCTTGCGAGAATTTATTGTTTTTACAAAATATGAAAATACCTGAAAGCACCGTAGACTACTTCTGCCTGCTCATATGGATTAACACATGATTTTCTTTCATAATATCCCAAAGGAATTGAAAGGTATTAATATAGGATAACGAGAGCACTAGATAGTTTTACTTTTAATTAAGGTCAGGCTTAGTTGGGTCTCTAGGAGTGGATTCAAACACAGCCAAAATAAAAACCCAATACTCAAAAATACAGCTAAAATTCTTTTACCATCCCAATCTTGGTATTTTATGAAGAATACACAAACCATTATGTTTGCAAACCACAGCCTACAAATGTAGGGAAGTAAAACTCATAAATGAGTATGTTGCCTGGAAGAGAGTTAATTGCTTCAAAAAGAAGCAAATTCAGAATAAACCTACAAAATGCTTAGCAGATTTGCTTCTCCCTCCCACCTCCTAAAATGAGAAAAAGTCATTACTGTCCTACAGTCTCTCATTTTACTTGCTTTTATTCTGTTTGTTTTCCATTCAAAACTACTCTTCCGACTCTCAAAGCCATCTCTTAACCCACTGAGTGGAGTCACTGCTCCTGTCATCTATCTTTGCTTTGCTTTTATAGCACAGAAGTCAAGTGACTTTTTCAAACTTCACCTTCAAAGTGATTCTGATTTTTCTTCTCTGTCTGCTACTCTAATTACTCATTCCACTCAGCTGGTTTCTGGGTTGTCTCTGTTCCTTTTTCAAAATTCTCAGCAGCTGGAGTTACTACTCTTTCATTTATGCTGCCTCATCTATCCAGACTTCCCCCTGCCTATGAAACATTGAGGTACGTTTTATTTTTAATTCAACTTCATTTTTCTCTTTATATTAAAAATAAACTATGTTTAAAAACCAAAGTGTATGGAAGTATATAAAAGATTATATATATAGTAAAAGATAATGTATTCCAACGTGCTGGTCCTAATACAGTCACATAACTATGGAATAATATATTCTGCGGCCTTACCAATACTTTTGCGAGAGGAACAGATAACCCCTAAGTGCAGCTAACTGCAGTATGATCCTAAGTGCCAACTATGTCAACAATCCTTTCCCATCAGCACCTCTGTATGTTCACGTTACCATACGCTCAAGCCCAAACTCTGTACGCTGACATGAAATCTTATTCAGTGTAACTGTACAGTCAGCAACTTGCTGCTTTTACTATTTTTTCTTCAGTGCCTCTGTGCATTAACAGATATATTCCTTGGTAACTCAATGACAGCCATATCACTGCTGTATTACCACACATGTAAACAGGCCTGAACTCACCTTGCTGCATCTTCTTCTAGAAGAAGCTTCACAAATTGCCTAGGGATGTGCAGCGACAGGATGCTCTCAGCCATCTGTTCCAAGATTCTCAAGTGGTTTCCATCAGTGGTTGGGAAGCGATACATTCGGCAAATGGCGCCACCAAACACTGAAGAATTAAAATCATGTTGTTTAAGCATAGGGTTTGAGTTAAAAGTGTACAAAGTCTCTCCTTTTTTAAAGTAAATGGCTTCGATTCACTAACATGCTGTAACACACTGCTGTAAAGATCTGGTTTAACCTGGCATCAGTCTAGCTTTTCCAAGCACGGTTATTCTACAATGACCATTCTTCCAGTGTTTGCAGGAAAAGCCTCCAAATGATTTAAAACACTGGTAAGGAAATGAAATACATATTCAACTTTTGAAATACTTTTTTTTTTTTTTAATGTACTGTGCGTTTTCCTCACATGCAATCATTTGCTGGAAAACTAACCTTTCTTCAATAATTTTTTTTTAAAGCAACTGCTTTTCTCTGTCCCTCCCCCAACCCCCAACGATTGCTTAGGAATAAACTAGCAAATTGCATGGAAAATTTTATACTACAGTCAACTTAATGACAAAAGTTTGCTTCTGCTGTTTTTACTATACAAAATAGTGCAGATGATAAAATAATTTATTCTTGTACGACCCTCAAAGCGCTGCTCAATCAGCAGCCTGTTCCTATTCAAACGAAACATCTGCTTAAATGCCCTGGGGCCACAGGCAGACAGCAAGAGATTAGCTTTTACTGATGCCTAAAGCTTGCTTGTTACAGCCCACAGCAGCTTACCAGATTTCAGTAGTGCATCTTTCCGTAATGAAGCATATTTGGATCTGATTCCTAAAGATTCTGTTAAACTTTCATCAACTGGCAACACAGTCTAAACAAAAACAAAACCCACAAATAGTAAAGAATAAAACTTCATTGCCAGGGCAATATGCAGTGATGACCCTATTACACAGACTTGAAAGGAATATTCAACACAACACATGGTTAAAATAAATATTTCAAATATGTTTATTGTGGACAAAAAATACTGCAGACTGAAATAATAAATCCACTTAAACCCTCCAATCTAAGCATTCCTATTTACTTCTACTGCACAGTTCAAAATGCTGTAAAAATTTTCATCCAGCCCTTCAACTACTTTATGTTAGCACAGTTCCAGAGTCCTTAAAGGTACTGCACCAGTATGTGGCAGCTACAGGTCTGGCTGGATACAAAGTAATACTAATCCACATTGTGACTGTGATACATAGATATGAGTGCAATTATCACCAGGATATTAAGAACACAAGGTTTACAGAATTAAACATATGTCTAGGCTGAGAAAGCACTATAAATATCTGCTCTCAGACAAATATTTGGGGATGAGAAAAATAAAATAAATCCAGTATTTAAGTAACCTGTTCAGTTTTATTAAAATCTTTTAAGTTGCCTGTGAAAATTCTGGAAATTCCCTGAACATCCCCATTACAGCTTTGCTTAATGCCACCTTCCAATTCACAATGTGAACTGGAATACCACATCTTTGTGAAACTGGTTATCAATGCACCAAGTGCACCAATGTACAGCACCACATGTACCGTACTATTTTGATGAAGGGCATGAACACTTGAAGCTAAAGCTTAATCACCGTAAACTAAAGTTTTCCCCAAGACTTTTAACCCCAAACATGAGCCCCAAGAGCTCCGCAAAACACAAAACCACTTCATCACCATTAGGCTGCTCTTTTCAGTATTTTGAAATTGTAAAGCACTACTAAATATCAAGATGGACAGGAAAGTTGACAGCAGATGTCAACCTAGCTTATTTCAATGCTGGCAATAAATCTGCTTTTTTCTGAATTTGATGCAATGCTCATACTCACCCTTCCATTAATTGTATCAGGTGACCTCGTCACTGGAGGCCTTTGGTCAGTTTTTTCCTCCATTTGCCATCCAATAACTGTAATGTTACCTACACGGTCACTTTCAGCCGACCTGCAACAAACACTCATTGAGATTTTTTTGGACATGGACCTGTTTATCAAGGGAACACTTATAAAAGGCTATTAATCTTCAAACTTAATATTTTAAGTAGGAAGCTTTTCAACTTCACTTTACATATTTTTATAATGCATTATTCCAACAGGCAAATGCTCCCCTCATTCTGCAGGGATGCTGTACAGACTTCCTAACTGAAGGCAACCTAAAACCATGCATGTATTTCAATACTTCTGTAAAACCAGAAAGAATTCAGATTTTACAGTTAGCCTGTTGTAGGCAAAAGCAGCTTAAATTGTGAACATTAACAGGGAGCAGATAATTGGATGTACGTGCACACGTCTGTGTGTGCCTGTGAATGTCTGAAACCGAACTTTTTAACTCTCAGTCAGAAGCCTGCTACTTGCCAGCTGCAGCTGGTACAGTTGCAACTGGTGAATTTTGATAATACGTGTAGCACATCCCAAATCTTCCACTTAATAGAGAAGTCAGTCAAGGCCACCAGTTAGGAGTCTGATCACATCTTGTGCTCCTGCAGATAGACTATTTAGATTGGAAAACTGGGGGCCTGACATTCCAGGAAGAAAAGCTGATGCTAAAAAGAAGGATCCTGAAAAGAAGTGGTCTAGGGAAGAACGTGAAGATTCTCAGTGGAGGGAAGATCCCTGAGATGGAGGAGGATCCCGGAGACCAGGGAGTTGCGTGGAAACAAATGCCAGAGATCCCTAGGGACCTGGCCGCTAACAGCTGAGGCAGGTCACTAACAGCTGAGGAGCTGCACAGCACAATCTGACACAGCTTTCTGTCCCACCTTCCCAGACCAGCAGCCATCTCCCTGCTGGGGAGGGAAGCTGAGACCATACGAACACATGACTGAGGGGGAGTGAGTGAGTGAGTGAGTGAGTCAGAGACAGAGAATCAAGTGGGGTAAAAGCTCTAATCTTGCTGGTTTTTAAATATACACCAGTACCCAGATCTACCATGGCTGTCATTTATTCTGTCCCACCTACGACACACAGTAATTTTGGCAAAGACTTTATGTTATTATTTTAAGATAGATTCCAAATGGTATTTTAACATTGTTGTTTAGATGTAAAAATATGCTGGGACAACTAAGACAAAAAAATGTCTCTGGAATAGACAATACTGGGGAGGCAAAAGAAATAAGCACACAAGATGACTACAAGAAAAGGTTTAAGTATCCAAGTCATGCAGCATGTTTATAGACATTGCTCAGCATCCAGCTTATACATCCAAGGGGTAACGTGACAATGAGAAGACATGCATGTATTCACACACTTTGCTCTGATAATCAGAATACACTTGATATCAAAACAAGAGAGTTTAATAAAGTCCATTTTCAACTTAGTCATGAAAGAATAAACCAAACAGAATAACCACGTCTAACACAACCATGAAACTCCTGCCATCACATTCCTCCTCTTTTTAATCTCCCTCAAAACACCCTCATCTTTACACCTATGATAAATTAGACTATTTTACCCACCATCATTGTCATACTTTTGGTGTCTTTTCTGACTCATTTTCCTCACCTGCTCCCCCCTTTTAAATCATGTCTATTTTTTCTTTACAATACATTGTGGAAAAGCCAAAAACTTCACCCATCTCTTTTCTTAGCATGAAAAGCTTTGCCCATGTTTTGTTAATTGTGTCTGGGCTAAGAAATTTCTGCAAGTTTATCACTCATTATGCCAATACTACCAACATCATCATCCTCAGTCTTTCTGATTACGCTTACCTCCTCCAACTGACTTTCCCTCGCCTTCTCTGACAGGGATGCCTGTCCTACTTCCAACACTCACTACTACAACGTGCATTTACACACCGAAGCTCTCTTTTCTTAATCTCACCTTTGTTCTCTCCATTCTTCCCTAACCCTGCACTTAACTTCGTCCCACACCGGCTTTCACAAGTGTGGTTTGATTCCTATGATTAGAACTACTACTTTAAGGATTAGTATTAGACTCACACCCTCTTTTTCATTCCCTCCTGAGTCACATTCCTTCCGTGAAAGTTTCCAATATGTATTAAACTAGAAAATTACATCAATCAACGTTGGTGTCATGTGACTCCTCCTATTCCTAGTGCATCATATTGATAAATAGACTATTTAGCAACAAATACACAATTTAGCAACAGGCAGGTGTTGAAATAATAAATAGAGCCTAGATTTATCTAAGCCAAGATATTCCAAACAGCTCAGATAAGCCTTTGTTTTGATGGGTTTCATTCCCCCATCACAGGCTCTTTATACACCAGCAAAGTTAAAAATAATCTATTTTGCTGCTCTCCACAGACACATACACTGAGGTGATAGAATGAAATGCACAAAAAGGAAACTGGTCTTGACAATACTTTCTTGACTTTTAGAACTAGAACCATGTCTAACATTATCCACCACGGTCTTGTTCTACATGTTTTAATTATCATGCAATATAAAATAGTTTTTCCTTAATAGTGGCCTGGAACTTAACAAACAAACAAACAAATGGTTTTCATCACATCTCATGGACAGCTTTCCTTACATCTTAAGCATGCTTTCAAGAATTAAGACTCTCAATTCCTAAATGGAGGAGAACATTACAAACCTTAGTGTTAAGTGTAACCTGTGATTCTTCTCCTGAAGAAGTTCTTTTACAGTGAACATCCCAGAACCCAACAAATACATCTGGAAGAAGATGAGTACTGGAATTGTAATTATTTACTTTTACAATGAACAAAGGCTTTGTCCACAGCACCAAAGCCCAAAATACAACTATTATCCACAAAAGTCTGAGAACAAAAATATAATTATGTATGCCCATGCATAACTAATTAACCTCCTTTAAAATTTAATAAATTTGGTAATTTATCAAAAATCCTTTTTCTACCGGAGGACAATAAGCCCTTTTCTTTCTCTAGGATTTGAGGGGAGGCACCTCATATATACAATATATACAAGCATAGGCCCAGCAATACAGGAACACTGAAAGCAATGACTGAATGGGACCCAGACTGACTAGGTTGACACTTCATAGTCTCTCCCTGATCCAAACTTGGCTCCTCCTGAAGAATGCACCTCCCCAGGAGGTATTCCTTTTTCCCCAGAGCCTCCCCATGACGCACTCTACAGACATGCCCTGCTACCCCTGAGGAAGCCATGGGAGACCAGGCATGTGGGACCTGAAACAGCAATCTGGGCAACAGTCCAGAGTGAGTTGCCCACAGATCCAAGTAGTTACCTGGGGGAGCTGGCACTTAGACTGTTTTCTGTAAGGGAATAAATCTTACACCTGAACAAAATCGCTAAGGGATCAGGGCAGGGGGATTTCTGAGAGCAATGCAAAAAAATTATCTGGGCAAAATAGCCCAGAGAATCTGTGTGTCAGGAAGCCAAGTGCATGGATGCTCTTGAAAGCAACCTTCTATTCAGAAACAATCTCCTCTTTTGCAAAAACACTCACAAATTTTTGCTGTTGTGGAATTCCAGATACTGGTAATAATAAGTGTCTTTGAGACAATAAATAACCATTTTTCATAATGAATTAGAAAGCACTCCAAAATAGTTACGTTTCCCCTGATGTTTTTCACCTTGAATTTGAACTCATATCCCCTGATGAGAAAAAGGTGGCTTTAGTGTGGGCTGATTTTTTACTAAATTAAGTTTTGGACACTGAAATTACAATTTTTCCATTATTTTGGATTAAAAACATTTAATGGCAAGTTCTATCTTACAATTTGTGATCCTCTGCAAAAATACTACAGAAGTCCACAGAACTCCAGGGGACTTTTGTTTTCTCCTCCTTCCATTTCACACAACATGGATTAGAGGCCAGTAGCAGCCTCTGGTAAAATCTAATCTGCCTGACTTCATCACCAGCTTGCATCTAAATTTTAAGCAGTGAGAAATGTAGATTTCTAAGGTCCTGAAACAGACTTCTAAAGTTCCTAAGCTTAGACAGACATAGAATCATAGAATGATTTGGGTTGAAAGGGACCTTAAAGGTCATCTAGTTCCAACCTCCCTGCCATGGGCAGGGACACCTTCCACTAGACCAGGTTGCTCAAAGCCCCATCCAGCCTGGCCTTGAACACTTCCAGGGATGGGGCACATCATTGCTCCCTGTGGAAAACTTCCACAACACTGTGCCTACTACACATGGAATTTAGCAGCTCTGTTTATAAGGACTGTTTCATTATGGGCCCAACATTTCAGCACAGGCCTCAGTTAGGGGTACTGGATCTCATTTGTTATCTAGTTCAGTAAAGAGCTCCACAACAGAAGAGAACAAGTGACAGAACCTCTTAATTTAAATCAGTGGTTCCCAAACTTGCTGCCAACAAGCCTTATTTGAGAAAACTGGCAATGCTCCCCACCCTGCCAAGTCCATTTCGCAACATTTGTCCCTCCTCCCCCTATCCATGTTGCTTTCTCTGGGATAGATGCTGCTACCCCTTTGCTTTCTTACTAGTTTTACCTCCTTACCTCTTGTTTCCTTGCTCCACACTGACTAGGGAGGCAAAAGAATAAAGAAAACTTACTGTTCCCTGAGATCTATCTTTGACATCGTACACGGAGAGTTTTATTTGTGTCATTTGATTGATAAGAGAGTCTTGGAAAAAGGCAATGCTGCTTAGAAAGATAGGATTACTTGTTCCCTGTAATCACAAACAAAAAAGGCAAAAATTAATGCAAGGTGGTATTTGTTAGGAAGAAATGCTTCTTGTGTTAGCTTCAATTTTAAATCTAATCCAGGAGTACCTCACCACTTACCTCAATAATTTCTGTCTGTGCATGCTTCGTCCAGAACGCCTGAGGAGGTGTAGTTACGCTCACTGCTACAAAACTATTTGGTTTTCGATCTAGCGATGGAGTCAGCAGCTCACTGCAAGCTTTAGGCATGCAATAGATAAATAAACTTAGATTCAGGATCTTTTTCATATTGCTGTAAGACACTACATTTTTATAAAAGCATATTATATACACTGAGCAATAAAGCCATGAAGGGCCTAATATTCATTCTACCGTCACACTATAAAGGCAGACATCACTCACCTTTGTGCATGCAAACAGTAAACGTGCAATCAGATCAGCCTGGCTCCAAGCTGTAGAGCTGTAATTTAAACTTGTTCTCTTCTAACACCCTCACACAGCTCATTAGAACAATGCATAGGTTTTCCTCTGGGAATCTCATGAACATGGCTGCATTTGATTTGAAGTTACGCTCCATTAAGCCCATTAACAAATGGCATTTTGCCATGGAGAACCAATAGAAGTGCCTGAACGTTGATCAAGCAGCACTACTATGAGGACAATTGTAATTGTAATTGTAAAAGGACAGTAATTTATTTCCTCTAAAATGTTATTGTGAGTTTAACTGCTGGGAAGGGACTATGGTGAGTAGGAAACAACTACCAAAAATTTCAGTGAGTGACTCTACACAATTACATTTAAACTTCAGAACCAAATTCTATCTAGCTATATGCAGGTAACTACAGTGTGGTTTGACTCTGCTTCAGCTAGATGCAGAAAGTTAACTCTAAAATTCACTTGGCAAGCAAAATGTTCAAATGTACACTGAACAGCTTTGCAGTTCTAGATATCTTTAATTTATCTGAAAATATTTAAAGTACTTTATTCAGTTCTAAGGAGTTCTTAAGACTATTATTCATAACACAATTACATGCATCTGAGAAAGTTTTCTTATTTTTCATTTCAAACATACTGTTAAGAGCATAACCTTCCCAATATTAGTCCACTATTAAGCCATGAAAACCATGCTGCAGTTGAAAATGTAAACTGAATTTCCATGAAGAAAATATTTTTCACTTATTCTTCAAGTGAGGTCACAAGCTTCTTGTCCAAATTTAACCATCCCAGAAATTAGGTCATTTCTGCATCTCACATTATCACTTGACAGCAAAGACACAGGAAAGAAGGTATGTGTAATAGTTGGTAACTCTTAGAAAATATTCTGTCCTAAAATGGTGTTTCTAGCAAATCTTCAGTTTGCTTGAAGACCTGAACTGCTGACATACTGAGACTGAAGACAGTTTCACTGTATCTTCACATAAACAAAATAAACATTTTAAAATAACATTCACATAGTAAACATTTAAAATTTTACAGGGCAGATGTTTTAATTACAGACTTCTGAAAGATCACAAAATCAAATTTTGGCTGCTTATCAAAACATATTGTACAGGCAGCAAGAAAACTGTACCACATCTCCATAAAAATCAAAGCAAAGTTTCAATCCTTACTATATGAAAGGCACTTCAAAATCAACAATTAAAAAACCGTACACATACTCAATAGCACTTATCATCAAAATTAGCATAAAAATCACTAAGCCTACCTAAACTGAACTCTAAAATCGGCTCATCTGGATCCTGAATGTTTCCTGTAAATCAGAAAAATTAACACAAGATTAGCCAAACATTGCTGTCATGTGAATCCTTTCCTGAAGTTGCAGTCATACAGAGAAAGAAATTAAATTTTATACAAAAAATTAGTATTTTTAATTCAATGAACCACGACTGGTATTTAAAATATTTATTAGCTAATCTTTGGTATCTAAAAATGATTTGAAAAACCTGAGATTATCTCATTTTATAAAACACGTTAAAATATGTAAAACTATGCAAGATTATATGGAACATGGGAATATAAAATGCCCAATCTCAGTAGAAAACAACAGGATTAAAGCCACTTAGTGTCTGAGCCACTATTAACTCCAAATTATTAAATCAGATACGTCTTCTCTGTGATCAGTGAATTGGGAGAAGTTTGAAAGTACCTGTCTCTCTCACTAATCAAAGAAAGCCTCCGGGGGTTACAATCCTAATTTACTCACTATAAAAGATGAGGGAGATAATTCTCAGCTCCCTGAGAATTTTATACAATGTCAAACAAGGAGGTTGCCAAGAGTCTTCCTCAACCTTGACATTCTTTTGTTGTTTTCTCCCCATGTTGCCTATTTTTGACTAATAAACATAACTGCACAAAATCTAGTTTAGTTTCTTTTTTCTTCCTTCCCTCTCCAATTTTAATGTTTCGTCTATTTCAAAAACGGTAAGTTTAAGATTTTTTAAATTTTTTCGTATAATTCCTTTATCTTACTCCCTCCAGATAACCAGACACATCTAAATCTTGCAGCAATTAAAAGGAAAAAAACCAATGTTAGTACAAGGTAGATCCTGAAAAGAGCAACAGAGCAATAGGTGGCATGAAGGTACATACCTGCTAGAGAAAGGCCTAGCATGTCAGAGGTGACATCAATGGTGGAGGCCCGTTGCACAGTGCGGGATTTTGCACCATGGCGGGGACTGTGTTCTCTTGCTGTCATTTTGTCATGAAGAACCCTTCTTTTCTTGCTGCTTGGCTTTATTGATGTTTGCCTTACAGAGTAGCAGAGTGCAGCAGGTTGTCTCCAATTGCTATTCCTCTAACATTACCACGCTAAGCAATAAAAAGAGCAAAAACATACACCAAAATTTTAGGCCACTATCAGCTACTGTTGTTTTTAACAGCAGCAAACCTACTGCCATAAAATTGCCTCAGGTCATTCAGATAAAACTCTGCTCAAGGCAGATCCAATGCACAGTAACTCAATTTGCATGAACTGTGCATCTGTAGCGTTTCACTGCAAATTGTTGAAGACTGTACCACATGCAAGAAAGGCTCTTCTGTCAGAGAATGGGGGTTGAGAGAACTTGTTAACAGACCAGCTGCTCTTCTCCTTTGTCTAAGTTATTAAACCGTCCTTAATGAAGTTTCCTGGTTTTCTTAATCCCTGGGGAGCACAAGTAAATTCGTCAGATGGGGCCTCTGTCTGCAGAGGTAGGACAAGGGATAAGGACAAAGGGACAATGGGTCAGCAGAACGCAGAACAAAAGGAAACGTTGTTGGTGTCAGCACACTGTGTCGTTCCAGGCTCCACTGCCATGAGAAAGGGATATTGAAAACTATAAATAAAACCTACTGGTCCAGAGCGAGGCTGAAATTCTGGGATGGTGATGGAAAGAAAAAGCAAAAGGGGATGCCTACTGATGTGGCACACAGCAGCATGTGTGCTTTTCCTTCACTCTACACGTTATTGGTCTACAGACATCCATGACAGTTGTTCTTCCCCTCACGATGCCTATAAAGTGAAATGTTAAGCTAGGAAAGAAGCACACAGCTTGGTTATGTTGTTAAATGCGGTGCTTTTGGTTTGGCTGATAAATTTCTGTGTTCCTTCTGCCAGCCACGTTAGCACTGCAGTTATGGAACTTTTGTATTCGTTTCATACTATTATGACAAACTCCATTCATTTAGGAAGCAAGATTAGGAGCAAAATCTGATAAACCTGAAAGGTAGTAATACAGTGACTAATTCCTCTTAGGTTGAGAGACCTAACAACGGCAAGATGCATTCTAATTAAATAAAACACCTAGCTTTTACTTGTGTTTTAAATAGGCATTTTAAAACTGTCTGAAGGCCTCCAAAGGAACATTCAACCTGCCTAACTTAAGTCTCTAAATTTAACAAGTCAGCATCTCCCTCTGGAGGATTTCAAAAGAATTTCCCTCTCTCCACTGGGAACTCAAGCATCTTTTTAACTAGCACTGGTTCACTGGACATCTAAAATTCAGATGCAAGTTAAGCATCTAAGACAACTGAATTGAACACAACCCTGGCCACCTACATGAGCTTAGGAATAAGATTTTAAATGGGGAGCTCATTCCAGGGAGGAAGGAATTTGGGCTGTGTCCACCAGATGGGCCAGTCTATTGCTATTCAGAAGCAGTAATTTGCCTCAGTGATTCAACTCGGGTTTATAAAATATGTCATAAGCCAGTTCTAAATAGGAAAAAAGTAAATTCTTGAGTGGAAGAAGCAGAAATTGAGAGCTCTGAACGTCCCAGCTCCAAAAGCTTTGAAACTCAGTGATAGCATACAAAACAACACTCTGCTTATAGATATAATTTATGACAGACAAAAATTAAAGCAGGCAGTTTTCCGATTCATACGGAATCACAGAATAGTTGAGGTTGGAAGGGATCTCTGGAGTTCATCTAATCCAACCCCCCTGCTCAAAAGCAGGGTCACCTAGAGCAAGTTGCTCAGGACTGTGTCCAGTTGGTTTTGTACAAGTGGTTAAGTGGCTAGTGAATCACCAGTCTTTCCCAAATAGCACTGAATGTCCTAAGATTTGGTCAAATAAAACTTTCATCAAAATTCTTTGGCAGCTTCCAAGTCTTTCCATTCTACTAATTTTTCTTCCCTTCTTTCAGCAATAGGTTTTCCTTGGTTTGTTCTTTATGTAATGTGACGTTTAATGGTTGGTAAGTCCATTAAACCTAGCTGCCTAATGATACAGAACACCTACAGAATGTGCTTGCAGAGATTTAGGCAGGATGCCACAGCCCCTTCCCCCAAATCCTACAAATACCTTATTAGAGAATAACTAACATGTTCACACAGGTACAGTTATGTTAAAGGGTCCAGTTGTTCTTCAGCTAAAATCTCTGTAGCTGCTGACATCCTTAAAAAGGGTCAATCCTTGAGAACTTAAAATAGGGCATTTTCTTTGTTTTGAAACTATTTCTATTTAAATATTACTGAGCGTAATAATTTTCCAAGGCATTCTAAGTTCTCAACTATTCATTTAAATTGCAATATTAATTTCTCACCTAATGATACATTTTTAATTTACTTACACTGATCATACTTACAGAGGGCTCTCTTCCTCATGTGTGGAGGGATTTTGCATATCATAACATCAGTTAAGTCCACATCTAAAAAATTAACAAAATAATCAGCATAAATAATCAATCTTTTTATATAGTGTAAATCACAAACAATGGGCAGGTACCATTCTCAGATTAACTGTAAATTTAACTTCTGATTACTAGCTCTCACATTAAAGTTTACTGAAAATTGAAAAAGAGTATGATCCTCTGCCAGACCTCACCCATCACTAATCATAGCAATAGCAAGTCAGAGCAAGAGCACAAGGAAATAAGCTTACACTGAAAAGGACTGACTTCAGGTCAGCATTTCATGAGTGGGTGGAATGGCTGTAAGAAACAGGTGTTAACATGTTTACTGAAAGGCTTGGTGCTATTAAGAAAAAGGAATGTATATGACATGTTGAGTATGAGACAGCATTTGTTACTACGCTTGCTTTTCCACAGTTAAACTTTCAAAATGTTGGTGTTTAGAGGAGTTACAATAGCCACTGTCAGGAGAAAAGATCCTGTGTCAAAACACAGACGTTCAAAAGATCAGGATGTAGGGCTCTTTCTCCATTGGGTAAAATTACTACATGAGGTAGGCTTCTATGAACAGCTAGCAATAAACATCCAGGAAAAGTGAATTATTTTTAAACCTACTACAGGTTAACTGAAGGTTTGTATTTGCTAGTGGTACCATCTCATTCAAATATATTTGCATTAATAGTATATTAAGATTTTAAGACCTCCCATGTATGCCATACTACAATAAAAGGGATGGGGAAGTCCAGTCTGAGTTTTTTGATTTAATTGCCAGCCCTACCAATTACCCAAGACTGCTTAAGAACATAGGTATGAGTTCTTATCACTTATGAGAAGGGTTTTATCACACCTAAACTGCATAGGAGGCAGGTATCTGATCTCAACTCAGTGCCTAGGTTCTCTATATAGTCAATGGTGAGACACAGGCACTCCCAGAGAACGAGTCACCATTTTTCAAGGTAGGTAGGATGAATCACCCCATGAAAATACTCCTCTCGCTCGCTCTCTAATTACAGAAAGAATTTACATGACTAGCTTAGGCCTGACGCTGCAGCTGGGCAAACTGGATCCCTCCCACAGTTGTGCTAGCTCAGGCAGGAGGGACTTCCCTCTGTCACTGCCTGACAAACCCAAACGACAGGTGCTCTGATCGCTCTCTTGAATTACAACCTTTTCAACCATTACAACTTTATGATCATGTTTTTGATAGAAATCAATGGACGTAGGATTCCTACCAAATTAAAGGTTGTATTAACACACCAGATAGTTTCCTTAGATGCTACCAAATACTGGTACCACTCCTGCAGCCAGCAATCCCAGAGGCTGATGTAATTCATGTCCAGGCAAACCCCATCTTGAAGAAGGCATGATGCATCTACACACAGCCTTTGGCTTTGCCCCTACTAATACCGCAGACAGTGGATGCTGGCAATATGTGCAGCTTTGCACTTCATGAAGTTTTGCTGCAAGCCCAGTTTTCAACTGTGGTTTCAACAGAAGCATGGAAAGCTGTTGTTGACCCCCAGTATCAGTAATGGTTATTTCCATTGTGCAGAAAAGGCTTCTGAACAAGCCTCCCTTCTGTTTTGTGAATATTTATTTGGTGCTCTATTAGCACAAAAGCACATGACCAGAAGAAAAGATCTTCATCAGATGCCACTTCTGGCCTGCTACCTTCAGTCCTGGCAGTTGGCCATGGGAAGCAAATGCCACTCTGCTCAGCTGCATGGCCTCACATCCTGTGGGCTTGAAACTTTCAGACATTTGGTCTCACTCTGACTGCTTGCAAGAACTCAAGCAAAAACGATGATCATCTTGGCCCCAAAATAATCCCTTGATGATTAGCTTGTACAACTACAATCTAATATTCTCCTTATCTCCACAATTGTTTTGGCAAAGTGCTTTGGTCTGTTCCCTTCTTGAAAAAAAAAACCTCTCCTACCAAACTACCCCTTGAAACAAATGTGTCAGCTGAGAGCAAACCTTTTTTCACCCTAAAAACTACTTTTTTGACACTCATTACACAATTGTAAGAAACAGGATTTTCCCAATTCACACATCAAGAAGCAGGAGAAAGAGGCTACTCCAATTACAGTCCAAATTAAAATCTACTTTGAGACTGTACTTTTCTACAGCTACATTGCTCTGGGCTCATGGCATTTAACAGGTAAGGCGGCATGGCAAAGCAGAAAATCCAACAGCAGTGGAACGCTGAATGTTACTGATAACATCTACATGAAGAGAGTAACAGAGAAAGGCAGAGTATGACAGCCTTTTTAATGCATTAAAAAAAAGTCTGGGAATGCAATCCTGCTAAAAGTTTACCATCATCTCCAAGGGGGAGTGAAAAAGTAGTTGAGGGGTACTTCCTGAACTGCAATTAGTTTTACCACTCTCTGGACTGCGAGGTCCACTCTCTAGACCTTACAAATTAGGGTTCCTGTTCCTGAACAATCCATTTTGAAATATCAAAAGGGCTCTTCCAGCCAACTGGATTCTTCAGATAACATCTTTGTAAAAAGTTTCTTGTACTCAGGTTGAAAATGTTTCAGCAATATACTGAGTGATCAAAAAAGTGGAAATGAATTCTGCCTGAAACAGTAAGTATTTTGGATCTGGAACATGGCCAAGTTGCCAACTAACGTCTTACTAACTGTATCATTGTGGACAAAATAATGGAGAAGATGAAATACCAGACTCTGCTAAGTTATGACTATGTTGCCCTCCATATAAGAGTACCATCTCTAGTACACCTACCAGATAGATTTTTTTTCTTTTTTTCTTCTTTTTTACCTCCAACCGTAGAAAACCTTGGTAGTGAAACAAGATTTGCCATGCTGGCTCAAGACCAATCTTCCAGCAATTCCAGCATCTCCAACAGCTGTTTCAAAGAAGATGCAAGGAACTTTACGGACCCTGCTTCAGGGTCTGAGGTGAAGGTCTGGACCAACCCTATCACTCATAGCTGCAGAGGCGGACCAAGAGCAGAACACCAGCTCTGGGACAGCAGCTCCCAGCAAGAGCTTGCTAAGACCGACACTGATTAAGAGCTTTTTTTTTTTACAGTCTCATGAGCACTTTGCTCTTCTGTCTCATTTAATGAATGTCCTGAATCTCTCACAGATCACAATAACAGGAAAACTCAGAGCCATGAGTTTGACATCTTGAGTCAGATTATTCCTTCCGGCCAAGCTCGTGGGGGCGGCAACAACAGACTACATCTACTGCAGATCCATTGGCTGACAACAGAGTTTCACTGCCCTCTAGTTACCCCATGACCTAGGACATCCCGCTTACCATGCCCCTTGGGAAGGCAAAAGAAAGTAAGTGGTGCCAGCATCCATTATGGACCTTTGCCTCCAACTGAAATGACTTCCTCACCAAGAACATGCTCGGCAGGTGCTAGTCCACCAGCTCCACAAAGAGGCTGTATTTCCCCCTCTCAGTCTGCCCCTTAAGTCTAGGTTCCCTTTTCAAGCTGGTTCAATGTCCCCCTCTCCCACTAACTGGAATCTTGATTACCAAGGACAAAAAAATAAGTTTGCCCTGATGCATCTTCTTGTCACTCTCTGAAGCCCTCCTCAGGATTCTGAGCAAGTGGGTGACCTCAGCAAGAACAGGGAAAAGTCTTCCACAAGAAAATGAAATAAACTACTGCAAGATACAATGAATGTATTTGTGCAGCGTGGAAATCCCCAAATGCAACCTTTCGGTGATATTTAGATAAAAGGCCATTTCAGCAGCAGAAAGTAGCTTTCTTTCTCTTTGCTTTCCTGTCCACCCTCTGCCACTTACTTATAGACAAATCCGTAAGTCACAAACTTTCTTCTTGATCCTTCCCCCCTATGAACTTCAGCAAACTCAATTAATCTAAAAACCTAATTTTATCTCTTTAATATATTTGAGTACTTTTAATAGAAAACTGCAATTTAGGCCACTTAGTTCTTTGTGCAAATTAACACTATTTGTCTATATTCACAACTGAAATATAAATAGCATTCTTCTTAACTCAATGAGATATTGTTTTAACTTCATTTGTCATCACAACACTTCTAATTCTTCAGCACTCCTCCTATGAGCGCAAAAATATGCACACCCCAGGTGGAAGTGAGCATTTGTAACACACACGTTTGCTAACTAAAAAAGAAAAAGCACAGCTCTGGTTTCCTTTGCAGAACAGCTTTTATCAAGTTGAGCACAGCGTAATGCCATGGAAAATGGTAAGTCTTGCTACAGAGCAGTCTGAAGTCCAACCCTCTCAGCCTCCTCCATTGTTTTACCAACAGAAACTGAAACAGCTTACAAATGGTCTTTACTCTAAATTAGTCTTTACCCTCTTCCCAAGAAACGTGCTGGGTACATTGTGGTGAAGTTTCCCGTGCATGGGATGACTTTTCTCCTTGTGACCTGGGGTTCTCACACTACCCATACAGACATGGAAAAGCCCATGAGAACAGGGGACATATTTTCTGTTGAGGAGTTTGGACTGGAAACACATTTCTGAATTAGATGGTCCTTTGGACACCCTCCTAAAGCCTGCCTCTTCTAAAGCCTTCTTTCATCATAACCATGATGCTCACAATGCAGAAACAGCATTGCTCTAACTGGAAAAAGCAAAGAGTTTAACCCCCTCTCTGAGCTCCTCCTGCTGCAGGAAAGGGTGGGGTAGGGGAACAAAGGCAGAAAAAACCAACAGTTTATGACCTGAAATGGAGATGAACTAGACACACCTTAACATTTGCTAAAGATTTCATATTGCTGTTGATTACAGATGGATGCCAGTAAAACATCCTCCAACATTCAAGCAATGAGAGACGGGACCACAGAAAACACAGAGGAATAAAAGCACTGAAACTAGATCGGCAATCAGAAGTTATGGTCAAGCTTGGATTACAACAAAAAGCCTAGGGAACTACCTGATCTATCTGCCTATAATACTCATCCACTTCACAGACTAATGTAGCACTAGTTAAAGCCAGTGTATTCTGGTCAAAACAACCAGCAGT